TCCGAGTTATATGTCTTCCATACCTATTCAATCTATACTGTGTAAAACATTAGAGAAGCTGGGCTTTATGAAGAATAATGTAGTGTAAAGAATGGAAAAAATGCATCAACTATCAGTTATGCAGATGACACAGCCTTGCTTATTGAAAGTTAGGAGGAACTGAAACACTTGCTGCAGAAGATCAAAGACTACAGCCTTCAATATGGATTGCATTTCATTATCAAGAAGACAAAAATCCTTACCATTGGACTCAAACAATATCATGATAGATGGAGAAAAGATTGAAATTATCAGTATTTTCTTCTTAGAGACACAATAACATTCTTGGTGCCAGTAATCAGAAGACTAGAGAGAAAGTATTGCACTGGGAAAGGTTGCTGTCAGGGACCATTCCAAATCACAGAGAAGTAATGATGTCAGTTTGAGGACTAAGGTGTACCTAATTTGGACCATTATAATTTCAGTTACTTGCTATGCATCTAAAAGCTGGACCAAGAAAAAATTACAGGAGAAGAAGTGATGTCTTTGAGTGTTGGAAAAGAGTACTGAATATCCCATGTACTGACAAAAGAACAAACAAGTATGTCATGTCATGGAAAAGGTGTAGCCAGACGTCCAGCTCTTTGCAGGCAAGGATGGTGAAACTTTGTCTCACATATTTTGGAAATGTGCTATCAGAGGCTAGTCCTTAGAAAGGGACCTCAGACTTGGAAAGGTAAAGGATCAGTAAAATGAGATTGAGTGACACAATGACTAGAGCAATGGATTCAAGTGTGTCAGTGATAATGACAATGGCACAGGATATGATGGGGCTAAAATCTATTGTTATAGGGTCTCTATGAGTTGTACTCAACTCTCAGGAACCTAACAACAACAATATTAATTTTATAATTTTTTCTTTGTAGTTATGCCAACTTGTATTTACCCAGTTGAGTCTCCCTTGCTTGTTACCTAGAGATAGAAGATTATCACGCCTTCCCTGTGAATGATTTATTTATTTAATCATTATCTGGTGACTTTTTACCTCCTTAATATTGGAGGGCTTTTTTTTGCCTTAATCTTTCATAATTGTTTACCTGGAAAATATTTGCTTTTATACTTTTGTGTTAATATTTTAGGAATCTTTAGTAAATAGATTTTATTGGATTTTATTTCAGTTGAGGGGTTTGCCTTTTAACTAGTAAATGTAATCTATTTATTATTGTTATTATTAATGTTTAAATAGTTTGTATACAAATTTAAATATGTTTATTATATGATTTTTCTCCTTGGAGAAGGACATCATGCTTGGGAGGGTGGAGGGACAGCACAAGAGGGGAAGGCCCTCTATGAGGTGGATTGATTCAGTAACTGGGATAATTGGGATAGGAGTGTCAGAGACAGTGCGATTGGCACAGGACAGAGCAGAGTTTAGGGCTGTTGTACATAGGGTCGCTATGAGTTGCAAGCGACTCGACAGCACGTAACAACAAGAACGGAATCATGTGATTTTGTATTTTATGTTTCCAATGCTTAAAAAAGACCTCTCCAAATTATTGAGAAGTACGGTGTTAGTTTTAGGACTAAGGTGAGCCTGATTCAGGCAGCAATATCGTGCTGAAAATACTTTAAAAATTACTTCCAACAGGATATCCATAGGGAGCCATCATAAATCCAAGCTGGATTCATACTTTAGGCATGTTTTCAGCAAGGGTTAATCTCTGGAGAGGACATCATTCTTGGGAAAGAGGATCAGCAAATATATTTAAAAAAGAAAAATAGGCTTACTTTGTGTTTATTGACTTTTATGTCCATCACTGAATCTTGCATTCCATTCTGTTCCTACTTTTTGACTCAATGTCCTTTTCTTGAAGAATGTTAAATATACTATTTCATAATCTAAACTCAAGCCTCTTTTCTCTAAAGAGAAAAATTTCATACACACAGACACATACACAGAGAACACATAAATAGCCCACATTTTTTTAAAGTTTGTTATATGTCACTCCCCTTTTACTAGAAATCTACATTATTACCTGTTTTCACTAATTGAGAACACCTGAAGAGAGTTTTAGTTTTTACAGGTTTTTTTCCCCCAAACATTAAAGATATGATGCCTGCCTTATATAGCTAGAATGATATTTCCATGCTCCTTTCCTGGGACCTACATTGTACATGTAATTATTTTCTATTGCAGGCTATGTTTTTATCACATCATTCAAACTTTTACTATATGGGGTTTTTTATATTTTTGTGCTTTTTAGTATGATTTTGTAGGTTACTTATTAGCTCTTTGAATGCTCAAAATCTATTCTTGTGTATATTAATGGTAACTGCTTCTTTGGTTTATGCCATTTTGAATTACGAAAGTTTTCATGAGAAATTTCTACACACACTGAAAGGAAAAACCTGTGTATGTGTATAAGTATGTATACAGACGTTGTTATTGTTGTTGTTGGGTCCTGTTGAGTCACTCATAACAATACTATGAACAACAGATCTGACCCCTTTCCTGTCCTGTGCCATTCTCACAATCTCTGACACATTCAAGCCTTATTGCTACAGTCACTGTGTCAGTCCCCCTGGTTGAGTGTCTTTCTCTCCTTCGCCTTCCCTGCACCTTTCAAAGCATGATGTCTTGCTCCAAAAAATAACCTCTCCTAGCAACATGCCTAGAGTATGCAAGAGAAAGCTTAATCATATTGGCCTCCAAGGGCACTCCGATTGCACCTTCTCCAATACATATTTGACTAATCTTTTGACAGTCCATGGGATGTTCAGCATTTTTCTCTCATACCACAGTTCAAAGGCATTATTGTTCTTGTTATGTGTTGTTGTTGATCTGCCTGTGACTCTTAGCAATCCTATGTACAAAAGCTCTGAACCCTGCTGCATCCTGTGCCAACCTTATTGTCTCTGACACACCTACCCCCATTACCCTACTCATTGAATCAATCCATTTCATCAAGGGTCTTCCTCTCTTGTGCTGTCCCTCCAGCCTACCAAACATGATGTCCTCTTCTCTCCAAGGACAGGTCCCTCCTTGCAATATGCCCAAAGTATGTCAGATGAATATATAATATACGTTATATATTACATATTTATTATATATTATATGGGAACGCTGATGGCCTTCTTCTTGTACACTGTCTTGTTGGAAGTGACCCATAGCTGACTCTACAAAGAGTTTTCAGAGGTAGTTAATTGCATGAGAGGAGATTGTCATCTTTCTCCCGCAGAGCAACTGGAAATTTGAACTTCATACCTTTTGGTTGCCAGCATAACTCCTTACCACTAGGCCACCAGAGATCCCCTACTGGTGGAGTCATAGAGAATTGTGCTGCCAAGTCAAAAGCATTCAGTTTTAATCTACCCATTGCTCCATGGGAGAAAGATGGGCATTCTTCTCCTGTGCTATTTACAGCCTCTAAACTATAATAAATCCAATAGAAGAAAACCCACAGGAGGATACCAACACTATGATCTATACACAACATTCATATTTATATATGATACAGAACACATGCATTCTTCTTCTCTTGCTTTTTTCAGGTGACATAATTGTTTTGAGATTAATTCATATTGTTGTATGAATCAATAATCCTCATTTTTCTTGTTCAATAGTACCTCATTGTGTGGCTATACTTTGTTTATCTGACCACCTGATGGTGGACATTAGAGTTATTTGCATTTTGGGGCTTCTGCAAATAGAACTCTGTATGTAGATATCTGTGTATAACCACAGGCTCTCTTTTCTATTGGATAAAATCTAGGAGAGAATTGCTGGGTGAATTAGTAAGTTTATGTTTAACTTTTTAAGAAGCTGCCAAACTTTTTTCCATTGTACATTACCATAGGCAATGTATGCATTCCAGTTGTTCCACATTCCTGTCAACACTTATTATGATTAGTCTTAGTTTTACACATTCTAATAGATGGGTAGTATTTTTTGATGGGTCTCCCAGGAGTATCATTGACTTGGGAACAATATTCACAGGAGGATTCTGGCATTATGTATAATGATATTTTTACTCCAAATCCATTTGTGGTTTTCAGGCTTGGCTTATTTTTCTCGAGAGATTTGTGTTTTTTTTTTCCCTTCCCAGATAGTATCCAGGGTGGAAATAACTTCCTTATCTCTCTGCTGTGGTGGTGGAGTTTTCAAGTTCATTTTCTATTCAGCAAGGTCACCTCTGCAGGGCTTTGTTTCCTGTCCTTGTGTAAGAATTAACGAGCAGGCTAAAGACCAGTTAGAAAAAAAAGAATACATAAAAATAAAACCCCCTACCAACCATATACTGTGTCAGCTCCAAGCTATTTTAGTGATTTTCCAGTTCACCTTTAGTTTATTAATATGGGATTTTGTAGACTTATTTGCAAGCTTTGTTTAAGATATCAGTTAAATGTACATCTGTATGTATGCACATAAATACAGAGAAATAATGCATATATATTATTATATATAAAGTGCTCTTTGGTGGACTGGTGGTAAGAAGCTGCACTACAATCCTAAAAGCATGCAGTTCTAATCCACCAGTTGCTCTACTGGAGAAAGATAGGCAATTACTTTTCCTGCAATTTACAATTTTACAGCCCCTAAAAACCCACTAGAGAGTCAGCTGTGAGTCCGTTCTGACTGTCTTGAAATTGTGCATGAAAGTAACCCTTCCTGATAGACCTGAATTGAACGTTTAAACTCCTTTGGGGTCAGACCACAATAATCTGGTCTAGACGGGACAGATTATTTTGATCCTTCTCTTTGTCAGCATTAGTGATCATTAATTTGAAGGAAAGTTCTTTTTCTTTGATGAAATTGCACGACACCAGGCAATTTTTTTGCTTGATAACTCCCCTCCCCTCTAAATGATGGGGAAAACAGTCTACCACATAAGTCCAGGAGTTGGCATTGTCTTTAAAGTTTGAGTCACATGAATTCTCCTTTCTGATATGATCAGTTATACAAAATGTGAGAATGATAACCCAGTACACTTCCCTTCTCTCTGTGTCCAGGCTCAGCCATCATGAGGTCTTCGCTGCAGGCAGTGGCACTCTGGGGAATAAAGGCCCCTCCTCACAGCATCACTGCCATCATGATCACAGATGACCAACAAACAATTGTCACTGGAAGTCAAGAGGGTCAGCTCTGCCTCTGGACTCTCTCCCCGGAACTAAAGGTTGGTGAACACTTTTAAACTTGAAATAGTATACACTCAGGAAATAAAACCAGCTGCTTTATCTACCCATTCCAGGCGAAAGTTTCCATGACTATTAAAAAAGATGCTTATTTAAGAAAGAAATTGATATTATATCTACATTTAGGAGAGAAAAAAGTATTATAGGTTGGATCCAAATCACACTTAAAAATGATATGACGAATATTGCTAATCTTAGCTGCTAGCTAAGTATTATCACCCTTTAAGTTATGCTGAGTTTTACACTTTATATCCTGAATTATACATTTAAGTAACTGAACTACAGACATGTAAGTATAATTCTGAAAATTATGGCTCATTAATCTAAACAAAGGGCGCTCTTGAAAACCACTATTAGCTAAATGAGTAATATCTTAATTATCTGTATATTTCTGTCTGCTTGGCCTTCTTGCTATTCTTTTAGTCTGTACACGCCTGTGATTTTTACAGATTGCATCAAAAAAGCTCTAAATCCAATTTACTATTGTCATTTTTCCCCCCACGAACCTGACCTCACCTAGGATTTGGCCCATTGATTAGCAATTAATTGTCCCTGTCCCAAGTCATAAACATTTAACATATCGGAATAGATATTTGCTTAACTCTAGCAGCCTCTAGACCCAATTTGCACACTTAAACTAATGATGTACTTAAAGTATACTGCCCTCATTAAGAAGCCTTTTAAAAATCAAAGACTATTTTTAGCCCTTTAAAGTTTGTCACTTTAAAACCTAAATTAACAATTAATTGTAATTCTATTTTATAGTGTAATTAATTAACATCACTGGGCAGTTCTACGACAGGACTGCCAAGAACCATACAGCAGACTGGCTCAGCTCAATGTTTATAAACTTTCCTGAATGAAGTAACTGGTTATTTTGCAAAAGTTGTGCTTGGAATATGATGACCTTCACATATATCTTGTATTATAAACTCAGATTCCCACATGGCTTGAAATATCTAGTTTTTCTTTTAATATTGAAGCATAGTGGTTTTGCAATGATAGAGATTTATTTAAGAAATGTGTAATCCTAGCATTTATATCTTCTTATAAAAATATACGAAGTGTGCTTGTGTTTTATTTAACATGTATTTATCATGCATTTGAATGCATTCTGTTGAATGCATATCATGATTTAGTCAGTATGCTAAGTTCCTTAGTTCAAATCTGAACAAGACCAGGTACTGGCTTCCCAGGAGATTGTTTGCAGTGTAGTAGAAAAGAAAGAGTAACATGAAATAAAGGTGTCATAATATAAGATATAGCATAACACAAAATAGGAGGCTATCTGAACTGCATCGTCAATGGAGAAGTGGTGCTCTGTTTCTCTTTGATGCGTGTTTTTTTCTAGGATTTAGAACAGTTTTGCCCCTAAGGGAGTATTTGAAAATGTTTGCAGGCAGTTTGATTTTAATATTTGAAGAGTTAAAAGTTTCTACAATGTTTAGTCAGGACAATATTTGAATGTGAACCAAATTGGTGGTAGTAAGAATAAAGGACAGATGAAAAGAGAGTAACAGTAACAAAAGTAAGTGGTTCAATACTTACCCACAGATACTGAGTTATTTTGACTCATAATGACCCTCCACTGGGTTTCTGAGGCTCTAAATCTGTAAGGAAGATTTTCCCTCTTTTTTCTCAGGGACAGTTAATGTATTTGAACCACAGATCTTTTGGTTAGCAATGCAGCACATAATGCACCACACTCCCAGAACTCCTTAAGAATTTAATAGTTGACTAGATGTGGGATAAAGGAGAGGAAAAAGTCAAGAATACCTTTTAGATTTGAGTCTTAATTGTTGGGTGAAACTAGTGAGATGACACTATCATTTACTTGTCTAAGGAGGAGATTGGCTGTCTTTCTCCTGAGAAGCAGCTGGTAGATTCAGACTACATCTGGTTTAGCAATGCAACTCCTTACCCACTACACCAGCAGATCCCCCTCTGGAAAGATGAGGAAAGTAGAAGTAAATGCTTAATAAGTGTGAGGCCAATGAATAGAATTCATCTTGTCCTGAATTACATGATGGTAGTGACTGGCTGGGACGATAGAATTAATTTTTCTTAATTTTTCACAGACGTTCTAGAAAAGTTACAGAATGAAAAGAGTATAGTGAAATGTTGCTGTTTGTTTCAAATACATGTAAGACCTTAATAGAGAATGATACCTTCTAAAAAAAGACAATGTGGCTCCATTGTGATCTTTAGTCCACAGTGGATTGGCTCTGGAGGAGGGTATTCTCTGCTTCATTGCCCAATGTGGCCTGTTAATAATTAGAAATTGGTTGACCTCATAAGCATATGAGCTTGGTACCCTAAGTGTGATAACAGGGGGGAAACTTGTACAATTTTCTGATATGGAAGCTCTGGCTTTTCCAAGAAATAGGTAAAGTCATAATCCCATTGCAAGTGATTCTCATAAACTACACAAACCCTCTTTTAAGGGTTTTCTTTAAAGAAATTGTTTTCTTTAAAGAGAACTTTTAAGGTAATTTTTCTGATTGAGATAGAAACAGTAGGAATGTACTCTATTGTCATTTAGTAGATTCCAACTCAACTCTTCTGGACTTAAGGTCATAGAGGTAATTTAGTGGTAAGAAACTGTGCTGCAATCCCAAAGACATGTAGCTTAAATCTACAAGAGAAAGATGAGCAATAGCCTTTCATGCAATTTACTGTATCTGAAAATCCACTGGAAGATCAGCTATGAGTCAAGGGAGCTCTGGTGACTTAGGTGTAAGGAATTATGCAGCTGATGTAAAAGTACAATTCAAATTGACCAGCTGCTCCAGAGGAGAAAGATGGACAATCATCTCCAAGTGTCATTTGTTTTTGTATTCTTGTGTTACGAAGCAATGAGGAACAGGCTGTTTCTTACATAAAATAGGGGAAGAATTTGCTTCTAGAACAGTTTTTTTATTAAAAATATAACTAATAGAATAATTAGCGTTTTAAATAATAAACTTTTTAATTAATTTTAAAAGTTCATTTTGTTCTATTTCTGGGTCGGGGGGAGCCAAATAAAACATTACAGTGGTTACAAAGAGTTTAACAGTTGTTTTGTAAACTTACTTTGAATTCTGAAACTTGTACATTAATATACAACTATTATTTAGGGGACCTTTTATGCATAATAAGCACCAACACTGGCTTATTTGTATTCAAAACTTAAATGTTGTAGAACCAGTCTGGCAGTTATCTAGGTTTTGTGTTGGATACAAAACCAAAACCACATGAATGTGTACAACACAATTCTTTTATCAAGAGGTTTATGATTTTGGAGAATTAGATATGCCATACATAGGAGTTTTCCTTACATGTAGTAAAAACATGATAGAAGAGCGTTTCCCAATTAGACGTATGAATACTATGATATGTATATTCCTCAGTTACTAAGTTTACACTTGTTTAAAAGTTTACTGTCATCATTTTTAGATTTCAGCTAAAGAACTTCTGTTTGGTCATTCAGCTTCAATAACATGTTTGGCAAGAGCAAGAGACTTCTCAAAACAGCCGTATATCGTCAGTGCTGCTGAAAATGGGTAGGTATGGTGTGTGGAGTTGGCCCCACTCCATTTGCTATCTTCTTGTTGTTTTTTCTTTTAAAGATACAATGATGTATAGGAATTCAGCACTGAAGGTTGATCATTTTGCACTTAGGACAATTTTGATCTTGAGTGGTTGAGCAACTTGTGTGAAAGTACCAAGGAATGCAGTAGATATTGTGACTCCCACTCTAAAACCTGTTTTATTGGATTGCAAATGAGAGATACCCCAGCTTGTGCATCAATCAGTTTGTAGGAAGAACAAAATACTTGCAGCAACTGAGCCCTTAGTGATATCTTAGAGATCCTCCATTGGGCTGTAAATTTTGATGAGGAGAGATTGCCCATCGTTCCCCAGAGAAGCAGCTGGTGGAATAAAAGTGCTGACTTTTTGGTTCGCAGCCCAATCACTTAGAAGCTGTCATATAATTGAAAAAATATGCGTTCTAGTTGGGTGTTGATTTTTTTTTTTTTCATATACAAGTAGTTCTTCACTTACGGAGTTTGAGTATGATGTCTCTGCCACAATTTAGATCTGACATATGTCCTATACTTCATATTTTTTAAGTTCAATAGTATTTCTTCTATTCTCCATGTTGTTGTTGTTGTTATGTGCTGTCGAGTCGTTTGCAACTCATAGCGACCCTATGTACAGGAGCCCTAAACCCTGCTCTATCCTGTGCCAATCGCATTGCCTCTGATACACCCATCCCGATTACTCCAGTCACTGATTCTCCATATCTTGAAAAATTCAATCTCTTTCTTTGGGTCTGGAAATATTACATATACATTTACCTCTTCTTTCTTGCTCTTGGATCAGAACCAACTTATAACTGTCCCTCTAGCAGATTTTTCGGTAAATCTCATGAGAGGAGATTAAAACTGCCTGCCCTGGAGTTAACTGTAGTACTCCTGACCTACTAGGCCACTGTTGTTGTTGTTAGGCACTGTTGAGTATGGCTGACACAAACAACAGATCAGAACTTTGTCCTGTTCTGTGATATCCTCACAATCTCTGACATACTTGAGCCCATTGCTGTAGTCATTGTGTCAATCCTCCTGGTTGAGCATTATGTCTTTTCAAACATTATGTCCTTCCCCAAGGAATAGCCTTTCCTAGCATTTTGCCCACAGTATGTGAGATGGAGCTTTATCATCTTTGCCTAGCTGCACCCTCTCTAAGACATATTTGTATGTTCTTTTGGTAGTCCATGGGATATTCCATACTCTTCTTCTCTATCACAGCTCAAAGACATCGATTCTTCTTCTGTCATCCTTATTCATTGTCAGGCTCTTATATGCATACCAAGTGATTAAAAGGACCATGGCCTGAATCAGGTGCACCTTAGTCTTCAAAATGACATCATTGCACCTTAGTAATTTGAAGAGGTCCTAGACTACAGACTTTTCTGGTGTAATGTATCTCCTGATCTCCTGATTGCTTGTTCAAGTATATAGATTGCAGATCCAAGTAAGATAAATTTGATGACAGGCTCAATTTTTTCTCCATCTGTTATGATTTTGCCTATTGGTCCAGTAGTGAGAATGTTGTTTTCTTGATGTTGAGATGCAATCCATATTGAAGGCTGTAGCTTTTGATTTTGTACAGTAACTATTCAAGTCATCCCCCCGTGTAGAAAGCAAAGTTGTGTTATCTTCATAATGAAGCTTATTGATGACCCTGATGCCACATTCTTCTTCATAGAGTCCAGCTTCTCTAATAATCTGCTCAGCATATGGATTGAATAGGTGTGAGGAAAGGATACAACCCTGACACACAACTTTCTTAATTTTTTTGTTTGTTTTTTTAATTATTAAATTTTATTAATTTTAATGAACATTTACAGGGATTTTGGGTTTTCATTCCTTCATTGCTGCACCATTCTCTCTACCCTCCTCCCCAGTTTGTTCTTCTTCCCTGCCATCCGAATGTCTGTTTTAATTGTCCAATTGCCACAGTGCTTGTCAAAGTCAGTTCTGATTAATCTCCTTTGTCGGTGTGTCCTTTGCCATTCCCTATCACTCCTCCCTGAGAGAGACTTCACCCTGATTCATAAGGAAAAGGGGATGGCATCTACTTCCTGCTGAAAAGGGATGCTGTGGGTTTCAGGGTGAAGATCTTCTCTCACTACTCTAAAGGGCCCCTTTGGCAGTAGGAAACACATAGACTATTTTGGAGATTGATTTTGGAATTTAGATGCACTCTTATTGATTGTGCTTGGCCATACATGTTCATATCCTTAAAGATGTATCATGGGGGTGTTGCAACCTAGAAGACACAAATTTGACTAACAAGTTATAAGTACATGAGTAAAAAATTATGGAAAAGTAAAAGAAAGGATTCTTTCATTGTTTTACAAACCCTCCCCCAGGTCCCCTCCACCATGTAGCCCTCGCTCTAGTCTCCTGTGATGACAGAAATACCCAGTTACATCTCTCTTTTAGACGGTTCTCTCCCTCCTCTGCTTCAGTGCAGTATACATTATTGAACCCATCTTACTCAGTCTCTCCCCAACCCCAAGGACAGTCCCATTCTACAACAGTGGCATCATGTAATATTTGTCCTTTTGTGACTGGGATATTTCACTCAGCATGATGTTCTCCAGAGTCAACCATTTTGAATAATATTGCATGAGTTCCTTGTTTTTTAATGCAGCATAGTATTCCATTGTGCGAATATACCACAGCTTCTCTAGCCATTCGTTTGTTGATGGGGACTTAGGCTGTTTCCAACTCCTTGCTATTGTGAACAAAGCTGCAATAAACATGGGTGTGCATATATCTGCTTGGATGTCAGCTATGGTCTCTTCAGCTTTGGTGGTCTAGTGGCAAGGAGCTGCAACTATAATCCCAGAGGCACACGGTTCGAATCCACCAGATGCTCTACCAGGGAAGGAGGGACAATCTCCTCCTGTACCAGTCAGATCTGATTTGATGGTACACTCACACAAAACTTTCTTAATTTTAAACCATCTAGTGTTCCCTTGCTCTGTTCGCCTCCTGGTCTAGGTATAAGTTTAGTGTGACACAGTTGTGTTCTGAGATCAATGTTACCTGTCATTTCCTGAAATCCACACAATCAAGTGCCTTTGCATAGTCAGGAAAGCACATAGATATTCTTCTGGTATTTTTTACTTTCAGCCAAGATTCATTTCCCATCAGCAGTGATTTCACTGGTCCTGTGACCTCTTCTAAACTCAGCTTATACTTCTGGAACTTTTCTATGTACTATTCTAGACATTTTTTTAATGATCTTCAGCAGAATTTTGTTTGTCTACATTAGTAATTATATCCTTCTATAATTTCCTCTTTCTGTTGGATCATTTTTTCTTGGGACTAGGAACAAGTATGGATCTCTTCCAATGAGTTGGGCAGAAGTCTGTCTTCCAAATTTTCTGGCATATTACTAGTGAGCATATTCAGGACAGAAGCTGCTAGTTGGAACATGTTAATTGGTATCCCATAGATATGGGGGGCCTTATTTTTTGCCAATATCTTCAGTAAATTTGAACTTCTTCCTCCATAACCATTGCCTCTTCATCATATGGTACTTCTGAAGTATTTTAGTGTCAGCCAATTCTTTCTGATACAATGATTCTATATATTCCTTCCATCTTCTTTTGATTCTTCTGGATCATTTGAAATAGCATCTCTAAGTATTGCATCTTGAGTCTTGAATTTATTTTCCAGTTCTTTCAGCTTGATGAAATACTCAGAGAGTTCTTCCCTTTTTATTTTCCAATTCCAGCTCTCTGCATTTGCTGTTATAATACTTTTGTTTTCTCGAGGTGCTTTTTTCAAACCTTCTTTTCAGCTTTTTTTACTTCAACATCTCTTCCCTTCGTTTTGAATTTTTGGTGCTCAATTACAATTCTCAGAGTCTCTTCAGATGTCTATTTTTCCCCCTTTCTTTCTCATATTTTTTTTAAGAGAACTTTTTCTCTCTTCATGGATGATATCCTTGATTTCATCCCACCATTTATCTGTTCTACGATCATTAGTGGTCAATGCTTCAAAACTATTCTTAAGATCATTTTTAAATTCAGGTGGGATTGACTTAAGATCATATTTCTGTTTTCATTGACTGGTATTAATTTTCTTCCGCTTCAATTTGTACTTGCATATGAGTATATGATGGTGTGTTCCACAGTCAGCACCTGGCCTGGTTGTGACTGCTGATATTGAGCTTCTCCAGTGGTTCCTTCCGCAGATTCAGTCAATCTGATTCCTATTGCAGTCTCTCTGGTGAGGTCCGTGTGCACAGTTACTATTTGTGTGTGGGTTTTTAAAGCTATTTGCCGTGAATAAATCATTGAACATGCAAAATCTGATAATTCTATTTCTAGCCTCATTTCTGTCATCAAATCCATACTTTCCTACTACCATTTCTTCCTTGTTGTTTCCAACTTCTGCATTTCAGTCACCAATTTCTATTAATACATCCTGATTACATGTGTGGGCAATATTGTACTGCAAAATTTGGTAAAAATCTTTAATTTCCTTTTCTTTGACTTCAGCTGTTGATATATTTGATTAATAGTTATATTAGTACTCTTCCTTCTGTGCATATAGAATATATCCTTTACTCACAAAATTGTACTTTAGGATAGAATTTGAAATTGCATTTTAACCTTGAGTGTAGCACCATTCTTCTGTTTTCATTTAGCATTTGCTTGTCCGAGTTCAAGTGGTGAAGGTCAGTCTATCTCATCTTTCTTATGCCTAGAATATTGATTTTCATCTGTTCCATTTCATTTTCACAACTCTAGTTTTCCAGCATTCATTCTTTGTACATCCCATGTTTCAATATCAAAGAATGTTTTCAGCTGTTTCTTCTCATTTTAACTGACTTAAAACCTGGGCTCTACCTCTAATACTATAACACTCTGTGTTCCTGTATTTTTTATGGATATTCAGAGCTCTGCTATTTCAAAAGTGGATAGCCAATCCTGTGTTTATTATTAGTCTGGTTTATTCTGGGAACTCTACTAAAGCCT